CGACCCTTTCATAAGGGTCACCTAAGACCATCCTGTATATCAGATATTTACATTACGATTCATAACAGTAGCAACATTACAGTTTTGAAGTAGCAACAAAAATAATGTTATGGTTGGGTCACAACATGAGGAACTGTATTTCAAGGGCCAGAAGGCTGAGAACCACTGGTCTAGATGAACTAGGAGAATATAAAACAGAAAGTGATTAGGAGCACAAGAGTGGAACAGTTAGAATCTTCTGGAGTTAGTATAGTGACAGCCCTCTGTGCCTCTCTCCCACCCCAGATTCCATCCCTACCCTCACTCCTTGAGTGGGTGTTAAAGGGGCTGTTCTGGAAGTGGTAGAATTTAAGGTAAGCTTGGAAACATGGGCAGAGTTTCGATGACCTGGGTTCCTCACCCTCAGAAACTCAAAGAAACCCTTTAGAATACTTGCTTTCCCCCCCGCCCTTTGACATTTTGCATCTGGCTACAGCCTTGGGTTGGAGGGTAATAGGAAAAACCAGCTCTGACCTGAGAATCAACCTCTCGACTCTCATGCTCTGTTGTGTGTGCCAGTGCCTCCTATCCATGTCCTCAGTGAGTGATGACAAGAGTCTTTCCCTCGGGGCTCTATATCTACCGGTTTTCCAAGGTATATAATTCTGTCTAGAATACTGATTAGTTCCACAAATATATAGAATTATATTGAAATGATGTTTTTTTAGGTTGAGTTTTAACCTGATGACAGCTCTTAACTTCATGGGGGTTTTGGTGTCTATTTCCCCAGGATGAATTCCAAACCTATTCTCGGAAAAAGGTAATGTGGATCTACCTGTCAGCATTAAACAGCGCATTTGGTCTCACTCCTGACCAACCTCTCATTACAGATGAGGAGTGTCTCATAAATAGAGCTATAAGAAAGCCAGAACTAAAGGTAAGTACATTCATGGTTACTGCTGAGGCTAGAAAATTTTAATCTTCCCCCCTCAAAAATGTAAGATTAAATTCAGATCCTCCACTGTGTTAATTTTCAGTTGACAGTGTAGATCATTTAAATGGTTATGACAACCTTTGACCAATTACTAAATTCTGCCCACCTCTAATATTAATTGCTAATAAATTGAGGTATACCAAGATTAATATGATGCCATGTATATAGTAGATGTTAGCTACATATTAGCTCTTAGTAGAATCAAGCCCTGTATAATAATCTATGTAACAGAGTTTATTTTGCAATAATCTTAATCACCAGGAATAGCCCAGGAGTTACCTGCAAGATGACCTTATTTTGAGTCTGTCATTCAAATGTGTTTGAGTTATCTCCACCTCTCCATATTAGATGAGCACTGCTTGGATTAGGACTAGTTAACATTCATATTAAAATATTTTATATGACTGACCATTTTCTTGTGTGTGTGTGTGTGTGTGTGTGTGTAAACAGCTGTTTAAATTAGTTTTATGAGCTCCAGGTCAATTTTAAAACATAACAACAGTCAATTGTTGAACAGTTTCTGTATTGTTAATTATTATTACTCAAAATCAAAAGAGGTCAAGGACCTCCAACTAACAATTGCTTAATCTGTTAGGTGGCCACTCACCTGGAGAAATAAACGTCCCAAATCACCCTTATGGACATGGCCTCAGAGTATGATTAAGCTCTGGCATCTTTAACTGCATCAGACAAATAAGTGGACAGACAAATGAAGGAATGCTCAAGTAAAGAATCAAAATATGAGGAAGGGGCAGAGATCTTGGAGTGGAACATTCTGGTACCCAGGCTTGATATCTTCATTTACCAGCATAAGGCACAGGGAGTTTGGCTAGTTACTGCCTTTCTGAGCTTTGAGTTTCTTAATTTGTAAAATAAGAGTAGTTACTTCATCTTTGCCTGTTTCTCAGGACTGTTTGATCCTAAAAGGAGAAGAAGGATATTAAGGTGATTTATATTCATAAAGGACTGAAACTTTCATTAAAATTAGAGATGTCACAGGCTCATCCATGACAACACTGATGGCAATAACAAAGACAACAAAACGAAAATGATAACCAGTCAGGGCCTTTTATGGGGAGTTTGGAGACTGCAGCTAAGAACTTTGCCAAGTTTGCGAACATAAGCTAAGAGAGACTCTATAAACCATCTGGTAGGATTGCATGCAATATTGAAACCCAGGGTCTACCTGTTCAACAGGATGTTCTTACAACATATGCCAATAAGAAACGAAGAGCAGGAAGCCCAGGGAGGGGAAGCTTCCTGGATCTGAGCTGAAAGAGGAAATTCACCCTGCAGTTTGTGGTTTCACAGCCTGATTTCCTAATTACTATTCTTTTGGTCTCAAATTCCAGGAAATGGGCAAATAAACTCCACCTCTAGCAAGTATAATGCTTACCCTCTTACCAGCTTAGAGCCTAGAAGGTGATGAGGGAAGCAGAGAAACTCTAGGCAGAGATATTTCCTGCTAGGCGAATCTCAAAGGCATTTAAACGGTCTATGACAGAGTCATTCTTCTTACTCTGAAGAATGGCTCTAGAAATTGTCAGGAGTTAATGGAATTTCTTTTTTCTGGCCTGAGGTAAAACTTATCAGTAACCTCTTTATTCCTCATTATTGCTGCCTTCCTCTGCTGATGTTTTGTGTCCAACACGTTTTATAAATTTCTCAATCTCAGTTTGTGGTTTCACAGCCTCTTGACCCATGTTCGCTAACTGGGCAGTGGCCTCACATTCTACCATCATTTGTCCTTTAAAATTTTTCCAACATGAATTTTGAACTTATAGACTTAATAAAGTAGGGGACCCTCCCTTTCTACAATTCCTGGAAGTTATGGGATTTTCAGAACTTCTGCGACTAGCCTGATTATTAGGTTATTTGAGAAACTGGACTTGGGGCCAGCTGGGCTTGAGTTTGAATTCTAGCCTTGCTTCTTTATAGTTTCAATATTGGACAAGTTACTTAATCAAAATGAACTTTGGGGGTGAAGTGAAGATGAAAATAATATCTGTCCTACCACAGGGTGATGAAAAAGACTAAAGAGGATGTGTAAAAAGCTCCCAAGTACTCATAAACAGTAGCTATGATTATCATCCAGCTCCATTAGCAAAATTGCAGGGAATATGAGAAAGGAAAAGAAGATGGTAGGCAAGAAATTTGAGTTTCAAAGATGGGCCATGACAACTATCATAATCTGTGCTGGTTACTTTCAAATACTCTTCTTCACTCTAACTTGCAACTTGTGAAGGAGAAAGAATCATTTCCAGTAGCAATTAAGTCAAACCTTATGCTCAAAATCAATTGGAAAATAGGATTTATTTTTAAAAGATATTATGCAACCAACCTCATTGAAATACATCCATTCTGTAAAAACAAAAAGTGCAGCATTTAACATTCTTACTTGGAAACTACAAGTGTGTGTGTGTGTGTGTGTGTGTGTGTGTGTGTGTGTGCATGCTTACATGCACGCACTGTGTACCTTCACATGTATTTATTGAATAGAGTTCAGAGATTCATTTGAGGTAGCCCAGGTCTTGGAGCTGAGGAATTTAAACTCTATGTCTAGTTGACATATGGTGTACAAAATATTCTTTCTTTTATTTAATAAAAAATGTATTGAGCACTTATTATGTACCAGCTATATACTTTTCCCAGTTTTAGTATTTATCCTATTGTTATGTTGACTATAATATTTGTATGTATAGGACATGTTCAAAGGAGTGGCAATGGAACTCAATAATGATCTGACCTTGACTTATTCACCAAAAAATTGAGGTGCAGAGACATTTAGTTGAAGTTCTCAAGGACACAATTATTAGAGTAGCTATAAAAGGAAGTCTTGAACAGTTTCTTGACTTTGGCTGCACACTAGAATTACCTGAGGAAATTAAAAAATATTTATACCCAGCTGCACCCCAGATATATGAAATCAGAATCTCTTGGAGGTGGGACCCAGTATCACAACTTTTTCAATGCTCTCCAGTTGATTCCAATGGTCAAAATGAAGCTATAACCATTGTTCCATAGCAATATGACAGACTCACTGCTTTTCTTTGTGTTTAATTAGGTCACCAGTTAATGGAAATTCAGATTCATATACAAAGTTGCTTAAAGAAACCAGAAACAAAAAGGCAAAATTGCCATAAACATTAGCCTTTCCTTTCTTTCCCACCCGACACTCAGATCCTCACTTCCTGGAGCACTTTTTCTTGCAATAACCTTATCACCCTCTTCTAGTACCAGCTACCAGCCTAATCCTCTTTAGTGCCCCTTTTGTAGTGTACTCTGCAAGTTCGTTAACTCTAAGATAAAGTCCTACATACCTCATCTAGCATTTAAGGCAGTACTATCGGATCTTGTTTATTTTTCCTTTCTTTCCTTCCTTCCTTTCTCCCTTTCTTCCTTTCTCTCTCTCTCTCTTTCTCTCCCTCTCTCTCTCTCTCTCTTTCTCTCTCTCTCTCTCTCTCTCTCTCTCTCTCGCATTAATCCTCACCAGAGAATATTTTTTCATTGATTTTTTAGGAAGAGTGGAAAAGAAAGGGAAAGACAGAGAGAAACATCAATGTGAGAGAAACACATCAATTGGTTGCCTCCTGCACAGCCCTGGGGAGGAGCCTGCAACCAAGGTACATGTCCTTGACTGGAATCGAACCAGGGATCCTTTTGGCCTGCAGGCTGACACTCTATTCATGGAGCCAAACAGGCTAGGGCTGAGTTTTATTTATCTTTCCACTCTCCTTCTCCATTTATTAAACAGGCACACTGACTTGCCCCTCTTCCACAACTAACTTGTGCATAATGTCTTTGAAATGCTCTCTTGCCATCTCATCTGAGCAAACTTCTTCCAGTCTTTCAAGGCCGCAGCTCAGATGTTATTTTCTCCATGATGCCTCTGTCACCTGCCTTCTCCATATTTCTATAGTATTTTAATACTATATTTTTACTTTTTTAAATTTCTTTGACTTATTTATATTTGATGGTATGGTATAGTTTGCTTTGTAATGTGTTTTCTTTCCTTGTTAGGTTATAAGGTAGTGGAATGCAGAGACTGAGTTTTATTTAGATACTTATCCATATAATAGACCCAAGATTCAGGTTGTTTGAATGATGGCTTCTAATGAAGAATGCCATTTGTTTAGTTGGAAAGGATAAGACAAGTTAGGAAAAGATAAAATCTTAAATACCCATAGTAGGGCTCTATCTTTGCTTCTTCCACAAATGCTTCTTTAGCCATTAAACGTCATATATATGCTGATCCTCAAACAAGAGACTTTTTTAGTACTTTTATTTTGTAGGTGAGATACATAAAAGTGCAGAAAATAAGATATGTTTGGAACAACTTAGAAGGACAGTTCCAGAAAATTGGGTAAGTTGTTTTAACAATTGCAAACAAAGAAAAATGTTATCTCAAAAATATTACTGCTAAATATATCTTTCTCATTATTATTATTTTAGCTCTTTGGAAGACTGGCTCAGTTCTGCCAAGATACATCTAAAATTTGGATCAGGTCTAACAAGAGAAGAACAAGAGATTAGGTACCATGCATTTTGTTATCTACACCTATTCAAAAGGCTTCCTACCAGTTAGCCAAATAGATAAGTTAATCATCATCTTAACTGATCAACATCAGAAAACATTATAATGCTCTCCTTAGTTGTATTGAATCAAATGCTTTAACATATGTTATTTCACCTTATCAGAGTAGCTTTGTGACGCAGGTAGAACAGACACCTCATTCATCCCAACATAACAGATGAGAAATCTGAGGCTAAGAGAGGTTTAATGATCTGCACAAGAGCATACAGATGGGGAATGATAAAGAACTGAGTCTCACACTTCTGACTGTAGGTTTGGTGCTCTTTCTTTTCTACACAAGTCTTCTAAGGTTATTATAATAATAAGGTTGAGCCAGTTTTGACTGCAATCAGGAAATATACATTATCCTATGATAACATAGTTAAGTAAAAATTGTGGAGTGGCAGAAGAATACCATGCAAGACATACAGCTCCACAATTCCAAATCAGTTACTAGGCAAAGAAGTTCTAGGAAAGGCATTGGATTGAATATCAAGAGCCTGTCACTAATTCACCCTGTGGCTTTGAGCAAATAGTTTCTCTTCTCTGGGCTTTAGTTTCCTAATGGTTGAAAGAGGAGGAGAACTCTATAAAGGCCGTGCTGGTCCTAAGTTCCTAGATTCTCACATTTCCCT